GTATATGTTTTTTAATCATTTTGTTTGCTTAATTTACTAGTGACTAAAGAGATGTGATACAGTTTCTTGTTATGACTGTGTTAGTTTCTGCCTGGAATCTCTTTTCTTCACCAATATAACATATCTGTCATGTATCCCATTTGCTGATCTTGGTTCTCAAGGGGACAGTTATCCTTCAGTTAATTTACCCTAAGTCATTATTGATTGGTAATGAATTAATATGTTGTCTGAATCCATAGGCTGTATCTGGAAAGCTCCTCTACTTAAAAAATGTTCAGTTCTGAAAGAGTCTATTCGTAAGTCAAAGAGACCACTAATGCCTTTTGTGGCCATAGTTAAAGTGCTTCTGCTCTGGTGTGTTTGTTTTCTCATATTAATAGGATCTTGGATCAATGAGCATTCTAATGTTAAGAGTGCATATTAGAGTCTCTGCTGTATTAGTTTAAATTGTAGATCTGCCCCACAATGAGGAAGAGATAGAATGCACTTTGGGGGACATAACAGACATGGAATTCATACCCTCCTTCAAGAAAGGACTCTCCCCTCAGCTGCAAGATTTTCTTAGCTGATAGCATCCAGTTGTTCCTCCTCAGTGCTCCCTAGGTTTTGAGCCAAGGTCAAGCTCTTTCTGGGGTAGCCCCAGCTAATGACAGAGCAGCACAGTGGTATGATGGCTTAACCTTTTCCACTCAGTGGAAGACTCCCCTGTGGGGCAGTCTGTGCCCTGCCAGGTCCTGTTGGGCTGCCAGGTCTATCTAGCATCTAAAAACCCTGCCCCATTCAGCTTCCTCCCTTTTCCTTTCACAGATGTTACTTTCTAATGACCCTTCTGCATGCCTAACTCCGTCTTAGTATCTGCTTCCCCGAGGACCCAGCGGACACCAGGGTTAATCCAAAATGTCCATTCCAGTCCAGCTCTTTTACTTTTTCTCCATGTTGCTTCTATAATCCGCCTGGAAAGATAAAAATCTTATTTCAGTGTTGAAATCAGGTTTTCTTTCTCCCTGTGAAGTGATGTGCCTGAAGATTCATCAGTAACTTCAGGGAGCCGTTCACAGTGCTCCTACAACTCTTGCTTGGTCTCAAGATATTTTTCCTGGGCAAACTCAATAGTGCTGAGACACAAATGTTCTGCTGCAGATGCTACTGACAAGATACTGCAAGGAAACGATTCACAGATTCCATCCAGGGTGCCAGTCTGCATCCATGTGAGGGGAGGCCATGCAGGGAGAAGCGGATTTTTAGGCAGTTTCAATTCTAAATGGGAGGTGTTTGTTTTCAGAGTTTGGTCTCTATCTATACCTTTACCATTCCTAGAAAATTTTAGCATAGGAGAGAAGGGTTGGTAAACTGTGCTTGGGCATGGAGGGGTCAGAGAATGAAGTAAAGTGAACTCCAGACAAGAGATATGTGGCTTGCTAAAGAAATGAGAATAACAAAAGTTAAATCGGTCCTTTAGTTACTCAACTCATTCAGAAAAGTGACAGCATGTGGCCAAAATGCAGATAAGGTGTTCTCACCATCCATTTAATCTGAACTTCCAAACTTTTGAAATTCTAGGCACAACCCAGGAATAATATCCCAACATAACGAGTAGATAATGTGGATTTATCATGAATATTCAGGGTAGGCACACACTGTGGGATGGGGTTGAGTGATGGTCTAGGGCTAGTGCTGATGGCCTGGTGGACCACATCCAGTGTGATGTATAAAGCCTCACAGAGTTCTAACAAGCAGGTGAGATATTTGTTCACCACAACTTTTCCTTTTGTTCACAACTCAATGAGGCTGACCAGATCCATACATCTTTAAGCTAGTTTCTTTTAGTCTGTGTTAAGCTAGTAACAGCTGCACTGTGATTCCTGCCTGTTTGGGAATAGGAGTGCAGGGGTTGGGAGTAATGATAAATTGGTATGAGGAGTAGAAAAATGAAGAATTTAAAAAACAAGGATTCATCTACCTTGGGGAAGGGGGTCTCTATGAAGGTGATTGTAGACTAAGTGATTTGCAACCAATTCGTGCCCCTTTCTCCCCATATGTCCTGGAGGTAATTCCGATGGCAGGTAGAGAAATGCCTGGGAGGGGTCAGGGGTCACCTTGCTGTCATGAATCTCTTGCAGACTGGTTCCTAGAGCTCCCTCAGCCCTGCCTGGCATCACCTACCATATCTCTTAGCAGCAGTGTGTGTGAAAGCTCCGCTCCTCCCTGAGCACCTTTATTCTCCAAATGTCAGCATCAGAGAACCATTCTGGAGAGCAAAAAAATAAAATAAAAGCTCTTGCAGCTCCTTTAAGACAGAAGCACTTTACACATGCATTTTTAAAAGAGGGTTGCCACACTTCCGTTTTTTACTTTGGGTAACCCATTTACTGTGTTTTGCTGGAGATAAAATGGAGAGCATCTATCGGTGGAGTTAGTGTCTACTTGTTTCCCTACCTCAAAGGATTGTTCTGCGGAATGCCATTGCTACGTGTTTATCACTCCTGACACATCAGCATCCGCCCAAATGGGTTCTGTGGAGCAGTGGTCCTTTGAGATGCTCATGGAGAAACAAGTTTGGTTCAATTTAGTCTTGAGAAGTGCTGCCTACTGTACCTCGTTTTTAGAGATTCGTAGTTCAAGTTAAAGAATCTGAGGAGTTGTTAAGCTTTAGTGTTTCCTAAACTGATTTGATGATGGACTTTTTTCGTATGTATATAAAGTTTATTAATTCCCCAATAGAGAATACTTACAGTAGCCGTGTACTGAGGACATGCAGTTAAGCATTAAGTGCCTGTGCACTTAATGCTTGGGTTTGGGTCCCAGCTATGGCATTTACTATGTGACCTTGGACAAGTTTATTATCAATTGTGAAATCAGGCTCCTCACCTGGAAAATGAGAATAATAATAATACCACATTAGGATTGCTCTGAGGTTCAAATGTGCTCAGGTATTTAAAGTGCTCAGTACAATGCCTGACACATAGTGAGTATTCCATGATGTTTCCTGTAGTCATTGTGACTTTCTGTGTTTATCTTCAGAAAACAATGTTAATGTAATAACCATAAGTAAGAAGTAAATATAATTTCATGGTTGACAAACTATCTTATGTATACACACTCAGTCTCATATATACATACTCAAGATAGGAAATGTTGTTGTTATACCCATTTTACAGATTATGAAAAAAAGGCTAAGAAATTTGAAAACATTTCATGAGTGGGCAGTAAAGGGGAGAGCCAGAATCAAATATGGCTCTTTGACATCACATCCTGTGCCTTTTCTTGAATATATTTGGTTTCCCTATGATTCCAAATGAAAAAATGAAAACTGTCTACTTATAGTAGCTGAGAAGATCTGCCTTTCAAAAGATACATGGCTTAAACCTCAAAGTTAGAAGTTAAAGGCATTGTAGTGGATGAAATTTAACTAAGGCAAATAATACAGAGATGTTCTGAGTTATAAAAGTCCCTACACTAGTATTATAGGATAATGAAGAGCACTTAGACGGGATATAAATCCATTCACCAGGTTACAAACTAAAAATCAGTACATATGATGTGGCCAAGGATTGTTACGGTTTTTTGCATGCATGTGAAAAGTCAAGATGTTGAAATACTGAATTTCTATGACAGTTTGAGAGTTATAGGGAAAATAAAACTGAATACTTGATATTTGGATTTGAGCGGAAAATTATTTCTTTGTCCTTATTTTAGCATAATTGATCTCCTTGCATATTCTGATGTTTGGAAATATTGGGCTGTGGCACTTAAAATTTCCTAGAAAATGCAGTTTGGTGCATTAGTCCTATAGATCTTAGACTTATATGTTACTACCATTCCTGACTTCATCTTTGCTTCTCTCACTAATGTTGGAATAATTAGGTGATCTTTGAAGCAGTTTTTTGGGGATAGTGTCAAGGTTAGTATGTTCAGACTATCCAAGATATGTGTTTAAAAAAAAAGGTGGCAATAATAAAAGGAGGGTAGGGGTAGGACCATGATATCACTGACTTACCATTAACTACTTCTATAAACAAAGACAGTCTCATCACAAGTTCAGTTTCTGGTCAAAAGAGTTAACAAAATCAAGTAAAAACATCCATGCAGAGGGGTGGGCAGGAGTAGAGGGGAAAAATATTTCATTCTGCTAAAATCACAGTGGTCCAGTGATATGACACCAGATTGGTCCAGTTGACAAATGAAAAATGACATAAACCTTTCCCTTAGATCGCTATTGCTAGACTTTAGAGCCCTATATTTCCCCCAAAGTTTATCTTTCCTTATGAATTATTTTGCTTCTCTTAATTAGAAAGTGGTATCCATTTCTTCCCACTTTGCTTTGCTTACCAGGGAGCTCAGAGCAAAACTGCCAAATCATAGCATGACTGCCTGTATTTGAGACTCGGTGCAGTCCCATCGCCTCTGCAGTTATGATTGCTGATATTAATTTCTCTACATACAGATTTTCATATTTGTGTGCTGATACTATGTCCTTTTTTATCTGTAGAAATGAGAGTGAAATGGAGGCAACAAGGAAGGAATACATTTAAGAGAGAGATTTTCAACAATTAAGCATTGAAAAAATTTAAAGATTTCTTCACTAGCATTCAATTAACTGATTTCTCCCCACCTAGATATTTTACTTAATGATCAAATTAGTACAAAAATTATATTTAAATATAAGCATTGTGAGAAGATTGAAGGATATGTTCAGGTAGGGGACAAAGGGAATGATGGAAATGAGCTGATGGGAAGACTTATCCCAGTTAGTACCTGTGACTTTTATTAAAGGTTCAGAGGAAACAGTTGTCAAAATTAAGCATTTTGCAAAATAGAGAAATCCCATTACTTCCATTTATCTGAGAGCAGCCAAGAAGACAAAAGGAATTGGAAAGTGAATTTTGGGGGGAATTACACAGGTTCACACAGAGGGTACTCTCCTAGTTACAGTTTTCTGAGATATTTTACCTGATTCGTGGTATTTCCATGTCCTTTTAAAAAGTTTTTGTTTTCTGCAGGGCATCAGGAAGGAAATCCCTAGGATGCTGCATGTTTCCCAGGCGAAAGTGAATTCATTTCATTGCAATTTGGAGTGGAAGCTGGCCTTGTTGTTTATCTGGGGGCCCCTCCAGAATCCTCCATTCCAACAACTCCTGGATTTGATGGCGAGGATACTTTTGGCAACAGGAAAAGGTAAAAAGGGGAAATGAGCAACCTAGCTGGTGCTCCCCCTCTCCCCAGCTGACACATTTGCTGCTATGACTGTGGGCATCTCCTAATGCCCGTGGTATTGTGACACAGCTATTTTCTTATTGTTTTGTCTCAGTTTGCAGACTTGCAACTTTCTGACGACCAGTGACTATTTATTTATAAGCCCCTAACAGCTATTAAGTGTATATGTGGAGGCAAGCAAATTGCTGCCAAGTGCATAAAGCAAAGTGATTTGTATCTACAATTTACATTTATTCTCCAGGTATATTTGACATTAATGTTGTGACTGAACTGCCATGATGAAGATTAATTATATAAACATTTTTTGCTGACTTTGTGAGCAGTCAAGCTGATTGTTTTATCTGATTTCCTAAGGTTGGTACCTAACAGCATGATGGGAAGCATTTCTTAGCTGTGCTTGGCACCTTCATAGATTAAGTGCCCCAGACCAGTCTTATCTAATAAGCATTTGGGGAAAGGTTTTTGCTAGCTACCGTGTTCCAGCTTACTTGATTATGAAGGAAGAAGTAGAAGAATGATCAGTTCTTGGAATTTTGCAGACATTTGGACTTGGGTAGAATTCCCCAGAATTAAATAAGAATTGTGCTTTGTAAGTGAGTAAAGATGTGCTCCACACACAAGAAAAGACAATTTGTTCAGTTTTTCCTGCTCAACCTGCTCTAGGCCCCAGACACCTTGAGTTGGAGAAAATTAGGCTCTCAGGGGCTTTGTTTTTCTCCTTTGTGAAATGGAGAGAATTACAGAATCTCCCTTGCTCAGTGTATACTACTCACATTGACATACCTGGATGAAAGGGACATGCTATAGATGCCCTTAGGGGGCCCAACTCAAGTCTTACAAAATCAACAAGGTAGAGGCTGTGTATATCCAGTTAGGGTTTAGAAGATGCTTCTACTGTCCCTTCAGATCACAGAGAAACCCTGAGGGGCTTACATATCCCCAAGAACTCCGACTAGTAAGGCCTCTGGCTGTCAGACGCACTGTCCAGGCCTGCGTGTGCCTTCAGCTCAGAGACTTCTGCAGCAGGCCTGGAGTGGGAGCTCTGTGCCCAGGTTCCAAAAGCCTCAAGGCCTAATGTTTCAGGCCTTTGGCATCCACAGCTATTCCACCAGAAATATGATTCTCGGGAGTGGAGGTAAGCCCCTGGGCTCTCTCAGAAACCCCCATCACTACTGTATGCCAGCCAGACTGCTCCCAGCACAGTCTACCTCCCTGGGCTGCATAGCCAGAGAAAGCCCAGGTGTCGAGGTTGGATAGTAACTGCTGTTTTCATCTCTGTAAAAAAAAAAAGTAAGGTTTAATGAACTCTTGAAGCAAGAAAGCTCAGATCTGGCAAAAAAAAAAAAAAAAGGCTTTTTATGCTGGGCCTAGAGAAAAACACCTCTTGTTTATCCCAGTCCCATAGGTGAGCTAAAAGAAAGCATGATTTACTATTCCAGAAAATTGTCCTGCCTCGCTTATATTTGAATTCAATTCCCTGATATATGGTTGATGCATTAGTCAGAGTCCAGAATAAGAGCACGAAGATGAGGGTACAGAGTGGGGGAAACCACAGAAACCCTCCAGAAGCCAACAGTTACCAGCAGGAGCAGTTACCACCCACTGGCCTGGGGAAGCAGGGGAAGGAGCATCGATGGGGGCTTGTAGCCAAAGCAGCTCTGGGGAGAGGGATGCCCTGCATCCATTCCACTGAGGAATGCTGCTTGGAGGAACCAGGGTCTGGCTCTCTTTAATGCCTCTAAAACGTTATTATGCTGGAAGCCAGAAAAGGCAAGGGAGCCCACTGATGTGACCCCTACTGGCTAAGCTCAGGACGAGGGGCAGAGAAGGATGCAAATGGATGAAGGGGCCAATGAAAGATACCCTGCACACCTTCTTTCCACTCTGGTCTTTTGTCGTATCAGCTGTCGTCCATTGGGTACTAGTCATGGGCATTCACTAATACTGGGCACTGTTCTAGGCACTGTATATACATGATCTAGTTTAACCCCTGCAACAGAGCTGACCAGTTGTTTTAGGTATGAAAAATGGGAAGCCCAGATTCCAAGTCTTCTTGGTTTCAGAGGTCATTTCATAATCAGGACACTAACTTTACCTAAGGAATTGGCAGACCAAACCGCCATGTTTTAGCTGGTGTTTGTCAGTAGGAGATAGAGCTGATCTTCTAGGTGTGCCCTCAGAATGGTTCAGAGACACTTTTTTTCATAAGTTTTCATTAAGGAAACTCAAGTATAGCAGGTAGTGATGCTTTGCTTTCTCTCATTAGCCCTTTATTTGTTAATTTATATATTTATTTATTTCTTAGAAACTTTATTTTCAGAGTGTAACATGCATGCATAAAAGTACTCAAATTCAAGTGCATGGCCTTATGGATTTCCACAAAGTAATTTATTGTGTAACCAGCACCCAGGCCAGAAACAGAACAAGCCCCGGGGCCCCTTACTTGAACTTAGCCCTTCCCCACCATCCTGACTTCAGATCAACACATATTACTCTTTAGTCTTTGGTAGGATGCAACAAGGAGATGAACATACTTATTTTATACATAATGCAGATTTGTTAATGATTTATTGCACTAGATCAGGGGACAGCAAATGACAGCCCATACAGTCCACCACATATTTTTTGTAAATGAAGTTGTGCTTTGAAATTGAAGTTGAATTGGAGCATAGCCATGCCCATGATCTGTGGCCACTTTTAAGCTGCAATAGCAGAGTTGAATAGTCCTAAAAGAGACACTGTGGTCTGCAGAGCCAAACAGATTTGCTATATGGCTCTTTTAAGGAAAAATTGACCACTCCCTGTGCTACAGTATGAATGTGCATACAGAAAAGAATGAAAAAAAGAACATTCCAACAAGCCACACCACAAAACCCGAGTTAGCCCCTGGCAGTCCTCGAGTTGACACGCCCTGTGGCGCTGGTGTGTACTCGCAGAACCCTCGGGTTTGATTCCAGTGCGGCTGTTGTCGCGCAATCCCAGACCGCGGCAAGGGTGGAAAGTCATCGCGAGGCGCCTCCTCCACAGACAAACCCAAGCGTTCACCCTGTAAACTCCGCAGGGGCAAAAACGAGATAAAACCTTTCCCAACAATATTAAATGTAAGCCTACCTGGCTCGCTTGAGGCTTGCACCTGCCACCCCAGGCTAGGGCTTCTCTTCGCCTTTGCCAGAATCACACATGGCAGCCAAGTTCCAGGGAAGCATTCACAGCCACAGGCTGCACAGCCACAGGCTGCTCCTAGGAGAGGTCGCTGGGTAAGCAAGAGAGGAAGCAGGTTAGAGGTGCGCAGGCACGGTGACATCCGTAGTACAGGAGACGCGTGACATGATGGGGGAGTGACTGTGCAAAGTGGCTCAGACGTGGTCTTGTGCATCAGCTGTCCTCGAACCGGGGAGAGGCTGGGTGTTTGAAAACTACTTTTGCCAGGCTTGTCACCCATGGTTTCCACAGTAGCTGATCCATCCTGTCCCTGTCCAGGTAAAACAAAACTGTTACATCAAGGGAGGGGGACTCTGGAAAATGTGACGTCACAAAGCGGATGGTCCACAGGGCCCTCCTGTCCCTAACGCGGAGCTCTTTTGAAGACTCTTTTAGGGTCTGACATTTACTGTTAATTTGTACAGCTACTTATTTACCATCAGTCCTCCTACCCCACCGATTTATAAGCATTTTGAGGATGCAGACTGGGTCTTTTTTTTTTTAACCACTCTGGCTGCCATGTGTGATTCTCGCAAAGGTGAAGAGAAGCCCTAGCCTGGGGTGGCAGGTGCAAGCCTCAAGCGAGCCAGGTAGGCTTACATTTAATATTGTTGGGAAAGGTTTTATCTCGTTTTTGCCCCTGCGGAGTTTACAGGGTGAACGCTTGGGTTTGTCTGTGAAGGAGGCGCCTCGCGATGACTTTCCACCCTTGCCGCGGTCTGGGATTGCGCGACAACAGCCGCACTGGAATGAAACCCGAGGGTTCTGCGAGTACACACCAGCGCCACAGGGCGTGTCAGTTCTAGGACTGCCAGGGGCTAACTTGGGTTTTGTGGTGTGGCTTGTTGGAATGTTCTTTTTTTCATTCTTTTCTTTTAAATATTTTATTGAAGAGAAATGCTTCCTCACTGAGGAGGCATTTCAGGCCCCTTGAGCTGGGTTTGTAGCTCTGAGAGGGTCATCTTCACAGCTAGTTTTTGCAACAGCCATCTTCAGACTCACCCTAATCGCAGACAGTAGCCTCAGAGCTTTGCATGTCGTCAGCACGTCTTCAACAGCAGGACATGGCCTCGCCCCTTCCAAGCTGCCAGATAAAAAGAAAAATTTAGAGATAATTTTGTCTCTCCCTGAACAAGAGGTCTCAGAAAGACTATCAACACTGATGGGGAAGGCAGAAGTTACAGAAGTTTACATTTACAGAAATTAGGGTTTCTTTCAGCCAGAATGGCAAAACCTCCTGGCAAATTTCCACACACTTAGCTCAGGCCTAACTTAGACATCAATAACCAATCACAGCTCTCCTTTCTGCTGAGCCTGGCCCAGGCCTCAGACTCATTCTTAGCATTGTATTTCTGGTAGCTACTATCAGGAAATAAAATACAAGCTTAAACAGATTTACCATTCCAGAATTAAGTCATCACTTTTGAGTAGACAACATATTGTGAAATATAAGGGTAACAGTAGCTGATGGGTGCTGAGTATTATGTGCTGGACATTGTTCAAAGAACCTCATCTTGATCCAGTCATGTACTATGAACCACATGAGTACAGATTTTGTTTGGATTATTGTTGTACCACCAGTGCCTGGGAGAGTCTTTGATACATAGTGAGTGCTTAGTAAATCCTTGTTATTTTAATGAATTCTAAGAACAACTGTTATTATTCTCATATTCCAGATATGGAAACTGAGGCCCAGAGAACTTAAGTAACTCACCTGAGTAAGGGCTGGGGCCATGATTTGACATTGATTTAGTATTTCA